TTCAACATAAGAGAAGGGATGAAATATTCTCAATTTATTGAAATACATAAAACTCTAAATATTATAATTATATTTCAAATCAGTATTGATGTATTTTGGTTAACTATCAACAACTGTTAAACTTTAATCAAATATTGACAGAGAGGACTCATGTACATGATATGTAGCTGCTTTAATCTATCAAAATGCAAACTAATTTTCATAGAATATTGACTTCTTTGATAACACCGCTTAATATGAATCAATGGTAAATACGTTAATAAGATACATTTTTCGCTAGAATCTTCGAAAACACTTGTTTTATAATTACACTAATCGTAAGAACTTTATTGACAAAGTCTACACCTAGCTCAATGGTTCATGATAAGTCAAATATACGACAGTGTTATCATTGTTTCATTACTAAGAATTCATTCTGACTAAACAGTACGGGTCAGTAAACAAGAACACTTTACTTTCTGAAACACTAAAAGGACACATAATATGAACATTTTCGAAAAGAAAATACCTTTCTCCTTCTGAAACTTAGGAAGTTCACTCTGAATTATCGATACAACACTTCCTATAAAATCAATATCACTTAGACTTTTATAACATTCTCTCGCTACTATTAACGTTACTTTAACAACTTCTTAATAGATTGAAATTTTAGTGGATGATTTGTCATCAAACTCGACTATCAAATTTTTCTTTATTTCGTTAGATGATGGAAAGTATTCCTTTTCAGTTTACGTTTCGTAACCAAATACCAATACGAGGTAGACCGCAATCGTTATCATCCATATGTAGGTCTTATAGAGTTACAGAAAAACCATTTAAAATCAAGATATTATGCGGTAGAGAATTATTGTTACTTGAAGTGCGAATAAACAAAAGAAAATACAAAACAAATATGCAAGTTTTGACTAACAAACCATAACTAATATATCTGCACTTGAAGATAAAAACTCAAAACACTAATTACCATCATATAATTTTATTAGTAAATATAACTTTCCGAGAATTGACCACTGTACAGACTTTATGTTTGTATATTATCTAGTCTGCCATTTTAAACCCTTTTAGCTTCGATAACGTAACATTTCAGTCGTTTTCGAGTCTCGTTCTAGCATACTGTTTAAAAAAAGAGCAGCTCCAAGTTCGAATCTCGTGAGATCGTGATGAACCACTCAAAAAGAGTGACGATTCGACTGATTTAAAACAACATAAAATCCACAAAACAAACTATAATATTATCATGAAAATAAACTGATTTGTCAAGTTGAATTGATGATTCGATTACCGTACTCTGTATGTATGTATGAGAGCTGGTGATAGGTTAGGCCAAACAATCAGTTTGTTTTGACTTTCTGAAGCCATAGATATACGCTATTTGGTGAAAAACCTTGCTTAGTTTTTGCGACAAATTTATATTTGGGTTTATCTATACACTTTGATATGAGATAGTCAAAAAAACCTTCCTACTCATTCTGGGTGTATCAATATCGGAAATTGGATGACCGCCCAAAACAACAGCTTAGTGAAAATACTGTCATGCTGCAGAAAAATATAGTTTTAGTGGAGCTCAACATTCTTTTATATTACAATCAGTCGACTCCACATACCTGTAAGATTTCAATATCTGTTGTATAGTTGTCATCTAAAATTCCACAGAAGAATTACAGTAGGAATTGATAAACTAAAATGAACTGTGCTAATCTATAAATGAGCCTTCAGAAACCAGTCATAAGATAGCCGAAAATCACTATCACGTTCTCCTCCTCACTATTCACAGAAATTCATACATTAATATGCAAAGTTACAATTTTTTTAAATAATTCACGATTAGAATGAATTGTAGATAAGACATGAGTTTTACGAGGTTTTGAAACACGGATTTACTGGTTAATAACAATAAAAATCATGATATCGTAATCACTTTTTACTCGAATATTTAACTGCTTGGTAAATAAAGCTTAATCTAAAACTTTAATTCTTCCAGCGTATATTTTAATCTTATTTTGATAACTAACTACTTGAGATGGAACAAAAATAAGCACATTAATAATGACCTAGTATGTGTCAATGCAATTGATAATTACTTTTTTATGTACATAATAAGCATAACTAAGTTTGTGAATGAACTGAGAAATACTTTCACAAAGGAAAACAAGCAAACAAACGGATAGCACTTCATGAAACATTAGAAAATGTAGTGAAAATTTGCAACTGACCGATTTGTGTGATGATCAGTCATATAGTGTCACGAATTAAATATGAATGGCGAAACGATAAGTTAATTACCCAATATTAATGTCCTTCAAAAATGTTTTACGGTCAATCACGGAGTGAAAACCGAAAATAAACGTTGCTCAAAAGATTCAAATTAAAAAGGTCCACGGTTTCCAGTCAATTACCTCCAACCACCCAAAATTACAATATATATATATATTTAGTAACTTCATCGAAAGAATTCGATAACCACTAACGTACTAAGTAAACGTGACAATGGTCACTATTCATTCCTGCAGGAGGTCGACCCTGATACGGCCGAGAGTGGTGAGAGTCCACTCACCCTCTTGAAATGCTCTCACGTGGCCATGCGTATACATCCATTGCCATGGAAGTCCTACTCACTACCTTCTCATAGAAGGGGTATTTTTTTTCTCACGATATTGAGAGGACGAAAAGCGGATGCCCGCGTTTTAACCGCGCTTGTGGACACGGAGGATCCACCTAGAGGAGTTGGGAAATCCTGATTCCAAACCAATGGTGCACATTGGCTCCAGTATCCTCAGAGAACAAGTGGCGTATGAACCAATTATTGGTCAACGGCTACCATGGGATTGCATCTCCTTACGATACTCCACTGCCTTTTGGATCAGAACTTTAGGCCGAAGGCTCGGGGTGCGGCCCCCTAAGAAAACCACCTGTTTCGGCTTGGGCACCGGGCAGTATCACAGCCCACACAAAAATCATGTGACTTGTGTGGAGTATATGTGGTCGGTGCTTCTTTGTACCAATATTTCTGTGTTCAAATAAATAAATAAAATAAGTAATTCAGAAAGTGAAACCGAGCGATGTGGATTCGAATCCTCCGGGAGATATTACTTTCTTAAAGTTTAAAGGTATACCTAGCTAACGAATACCAAATAGCATGAAGCTTAGATCCAAGGTTTCCTATCAACGAAATTTAACTACCTAACATTTCATAAAGATAAATATTCCCAGTGTCCAACCGCTTTTAATCTTCAAAAGGAGGTAAACTTTAAAATCTTCCCAAATATAAATTCAACGTATCAACAACAGGAGAGAAACTATTCCAAAAAAGCAACCGAAACAGCACTCCTTTAGAACCAAGTTAGTACTTTATCAAGACTGACTCTAGGTCATATATATATAATGATAGATTCCAATCGATAGATGCGAAAAATTAGCTAAATAAATTAATAAATTTAGAATAGGACTGTCAAATCAATTACGAACAGAAAATAAATATAAGCGTATGACCAACAAGTAAGCGTAATAGATAAAGTGTAATGAATCATAGGCACAAAAGATAATCGAATAACCATGTGGCTTAATTATATAAAACGTAATTGATTATTAATAACAGAATCACAAGGAGATTATAATAATTAGTCGACGACCAAATAGAATTGTGCCACTTAAACAGATTTCAATCCAATCACTACTGAAATATGTACAGTACATAAAATTGCTGATTTTAATCTATTTGTTGATCTGATGGATAATTTATAAGTGATATACACAATTCTGGCCAATATACGTACATACTTGCAGCGAAAATGATTCAATAACCTCATAACCAAGAGTCGAAATGATAATTAAATTTGAAATGAAACTTCGATCACAGCAGGGACTGAATAATAAACGTCTACATTACCGTTTGCATATACCACTGAATAGGCCATCGAACAGGTTACAAGTTTATTTAAAATTATATTCACTTTCCTTTCGTGTAGACACCCAGTTTACTTACGAAAGTTACCTCAGACGTATATATATATATATATATATATATATATATATATATATATATATATATATATATATATATATATATATATATATATATATATATATATACGCATTGCATATTATTCAATTACTGATTTGGAAAAAGACTTTCTCTAACTTATCTAATAAGTATTAATTTTTAGATTAGGGTTACTTGGTAAGTAGACATTTTCCGATTTATTTGAAAAATATTCAATGCAATGAAACTACCATAAACAGTTTATACTGGTAAGCTAAAAACGTATTTCAGAGTATAAATGCAATTATATAACTAATAAAAACCTGTATTTCAAGATACTGTATTGATTCTCATAGTTGAATCCATAGACAAAATTTATATTGCATGTTCTTGAAGCAGTATTTATATAAATTATTTATAGGGTAGAAAAAGTAAAAGTGACCAGTGTGTCATATATAACACAATTTTTTGAGATCTCGTAAGATAACAAACGGGCTAACAGGTTATTCGTAAACGAAAGGAAACCGCAACAATATACAATATTACACAAGTTTTCACATAGTTAAGAGACTATCAGACCAATTACTGATATAATCGCAGGGAAACTACACTAATTCACCACCTAGACCTAAAAAATGATCTGGTCGGTTTATCCTGCTTCCTAATCCTTAATTAATGATTTATGGTTGTTTTAAATTTTTCTCTATGTTCTCCCAGTACTGTTGTAACTGATGCATTGTTGGTCGCAGTAGTTTACTGATGTACCTACAGTTACCGCACATTAAATATAGACTACATGGTAGTCGTTTCCACCCCGCCACTTATTTATCTCATCAGCTAAGCGATTAACATGTATATTGAATCCTTCAGTCACAAAATTTTCTATAATCTAATTTATACCATAACTTGAATTGTTACTTCAGTACTGTATAATACTTCAACTTAGAAACAAAAGAATTTACCAGTATAGATAGTCGACTTCCCTAATGACCAGCTGCAATATTATTCAGAATTTGAATGACACAAATGTATATTTTCTTCCTTTTTCTGATGTGACGTCATTAAAAAATAATTACTAACTCTAATTCCAGAGTAAGATGTTAATGAATACTAAATTCCCTTTTTAAGGTATATATTAATTATGACGGTTTTTAATGGCTTAATTCAAAGAATCAATTGAGTAGCAATTAAGTTTATTATGATTAATTACTTCCAGTACTGTTTTTTTCAAATATATTTCACTACCAATGAATTTAGGAATGTTGACTAATATTAATACCTGGAAAATGCCAATAAAGTTGACAAATGAAGTCTACTAATCTACTTTAAGTACATAAACGTCAAAGTTGAATGTTTTAAAACTTTGACTAGTTGAATGGGAACACTGACAGAACAAAAGGTTAACAATAAAGGCCAAAAGAGGTGATCTCACGTTTACAATTTTGTGCGCATTTACAATAGAATCACAGACAATGCAAAAATTATTTACAATGAATTATAGTGATAAACACAAAAACGACTAGTCCGTGATATTAAGTACAATTACCTTTCTACAGAATCTGGCCTAAAAATTTGTAGAATCCACGAATTTTGATTGACACGAAAACCAAAATAACGAAACATAAAGCCAGGCAATAAAAGAACCGAATGCTTCTATTACGGTAAAATGAAATTCAAACACTTCAAAAAATCTCGAACCAATGACAGGCACAAATGCATAGCTGTTTAGGCACAAAACATTCGAATTTTTAAAAAAGCATGTCAAGTGAGTTTGATCACTTCAGGAATGTATAATCTCCTCGAAGCTATTGATGGTAGAAGCTGTTGATACATAGTTCACAAACAAATAGGGTAAGAGTTGGAAGTGAAAAAATGTGGCTGGTTAGGTTTTGACAAGCAACATCACCAGGAACGAAAATATACTAAAAGAAGCCGATAAGACAAAAAGAGAGAATAAAAGATGTAAATACAATGCAACAATAAGCAAATTGAGGGGAACGACGAACAATGTGTACATACTGATGCAAGTGACTCAAAAATTCAAATTATGAACACGTATTGACTACGTTACTCGAGGATAAACATTTACTAGTGATCACGAGATTAGAATATTAAGGTGAAAAGAGAAAAGAATCGGAAACCGAAACAAACATTAAGACACAAAAAGAATCTATAAAACTGTACATGCTTGGCTTTAATACAAACATGGAAACATCACAAGTAGTCTTCGAAAATCACAGTTCAGGCCTACATAATTGAGAAAGCATGGCAGTGTTCACGTAAAAGTGTACAGTTACTGGTGTCAAAACAGCCTGAACTCAAACAATAACACCAAGTGGTAGTTGCGGGGATGAAAGAGCCTGGTAAAAAGAGATTAACATGAAAAGAGAAGAAGAAGATAATCGAAGGCGTAAGTTATCACTAGTTGTTTTAGCAGATAAATACTTATTGCAGATCTCGAAGAACAAAACGATCATCTCAAGCTAACTGAATAACATTAAAAAAACGAGAAACGAACATATAATCGGTAGAAACGTGAGAAATCTTGTAAAGGAAGTAAATCAACTTGATAAAACATTTTCCGTATGTTTTTTGTAGCAGTGAGATCAAGATTTTAGCGGCCGAAATCGCCGTATGGATAACTATTGCACTGACAATTCATGGGAAATAATAGAAAAACGCTCTTCGTTTAATAGCGATGAAGATTTGTTGTTTACCGGGAAACCTGGGGGTTAAAAGGTGATTGATACTCTGAATCATTTCCAAAAGATGATGCAGGTAATCCTTGTTGAACACAAATATTTTCCCATAAGCCAGGTGGGACAAATGGTCGAATAGCAAAGAAGGCATGTTGATAACTTCGGATAAGCGTTAACTCTGAGTTTAATCGAGTTATTTCTGAGCGCAAATTGACATTCTCAGCCAGAACAGTTGCTAATTCATCTCGAAAACTATTGACTAATGTCGAACGAATGGCCTCCTATAAATAGAAAAACAAAACTATTGCTCAACATACCAAGACAATTTTTATGAACATAACAAGGATCTTTGTTTCAGAATGCATATGTTACAAAAAGTCAAATTAATCAACAACAAATTTTCTCGACCATATTAAATGTAGTTAACTGGAATTTAGTCCATCATAAGTAGCATAGGACCTGGCACAAACGTGCATCAACCTAAGTTGCTGAGATATATGAGTATGGTTAAACGAAATAAATAAAAGTAATGTTATAGTAATATCATTCATGAATGGAGAATAAGGTTTGAATAAATCATATGATAAAAAGTATGGGATAACATCGAAAATCAAGATGTAGATTAAGAATGGACGTATCTGCCTATGGTTGATGTCGTACTAAGAACATTTTTAGCCCTAAAGACCACTTAAATGTTCATTTATCATTTTATTGTCACAACTATTTGATGCGAACTTGGACTTGGACTAACCGAATCTTGCGCTCATATTTCCTATCATTTACAAAGCAAAGTAACCCAAATGAAATAAGTAATGTGCCAATATTTTGTGTTGCATCCTTATCCACTCAAGTTTTGACGAGTATATTAGATAAATGTTAGTTGTTTATTTCCCATGTATGTGAATTGTGCTTGATAATTCCACCTTATTTCCGTAGTATTTCACTTAATCATTAGTGATATAAAGCCTCACCAGATTTCAGTTGATTCCCGCAATCCTATTTAACGCTGTAACAGATGACCTTTGTATCCAAAGAGGAAAGTAGTAAACACTGTATCTGAAACTGTTTTGATGGATACTGTATTGTGAATGGTATGAAAACAAATCCATGGTGTTTTTACTGTGTATATTGCAACGTGAACTTCTTGAAGTGTTGCTTTAAATCCTAAGCTATTTCTACACCAGCTAGGATCATGCGTTGAAGTGGAAGGAGGCTCAGTAGAAGCAATATGCCTCAACCATCTCAAGTGATGCAGATTTATAATCTCATCAAACGCTTTGGTATATTTACTTATACTTGACCTTTAACCTTATCACTATTCACAAATGGCGGTCCACGCATACACATATAATGCCCTAAAAATACGTGACCTTCGAATGTCCTCTACTTTCAGTCATTTTTCATTGTCATGATTATTATTTTATTTATTTATTTTAACACATAGATATTGATACAAGGAGGCACCAAATACATATTCGCCACACATATCTCATTTAATATGTGTGAGATGTGATACAGCCCGGGTGCTCCAACTGAAACAGGTGGTTTTCTTAGGGGGCCACACCCCGAGACTGCGACCTGAAGGTCTGATCCAAAAGACAGTGGAGTATCGTAAGGAGATGCAATCCCATGGTAGCCGGTGACCAAAGATTGGTTCATACGCCATTTGTTCCCGCAGGATACTGGAGCCCATGTGCACCATAGAATTGGGATCCGGTTAAAGCTCCGGACATTCGCTTTTCGTCCTCTCATTTTCGTAAACAACACCCCCACCACGAGAAGGCAGTGAGTAGGACTCCCCTGGCAGAGGCTATATACGCGTGGCCATGTGAGAGCAATTAGAGAGGGAGAGTGAAACCTCCGCACTCTCGGCCGTACCAGGGCATTTAGGGGCTTTCATTGTTATGAATTAAAATTTAGCAAATCATTGAGGACTATAAGCCTCATGTCGTTAGCGAAGTGGTATAATTTGCTAAAAGCCAACGGAGCTTTCTGAATATGTCCCGACATTTCATCAAACAATCCACCACGGTTAATGAGGTTTCCAACTTACCATACTAGCACGGATTCGAGCCTCGAGACGATCTGATAATAGCGAAGATTCTCTGGAATTTTGGTAGTATTCAACTTCCTCGGCAAAATCGCTAGGAAACTTTATACCTTTTGGTGATCCAGAACTGGTCACATTATTAACAGTTAAAGGAGCGCATGTCCTAATGTAAAAATATATGTAATAACAGCAATCGTTAAGGTAACAGTAATAGTCTAGGTAAAGTTATACATATAAGAAATATAATCAAACGCTAAAAACTAATAAACAATGGATACCAAAACGCTAGCAATAATAAACAAGAAAACTGTGAACTATAATCAATCATCTGATGAACATTGTTCTTAAAGTTACTGGAAGACAGTAGTACATTACACTATATTAAATTGGAATAACACAAGATCAAAAAAATTTTCATCGATGCAAACTTGAACATACTTCGTTAGGATACATGAAAGAAAATTATTTATCATGTCAAGATCCCATGTTATTCTCATCTAGTTAGTCAACTACAGCAGATAACTTGGCACTTATGTGCATTGGTTAAAGTTGCCACAGTACATTAGCACAATGAAATGAACTTATCAAACCAAATGCCCTGGTATGGCCGAGAGCGGGGAGGGTTCGCCCTCCCTCTCGAAATACTCTCACATGGCCACGCGTATACAGCCTCTGCCAGGGAAGTCCTACTCACTGCCTTCTCGTGGTGGGGGTGTTGTTTACGAAAATGAGAGGACGAAAAGCGAACGTCCGGCGCTATAACCGGATCCCAATTCTATGGTGCACATGGGCACCAGTATCCTGAAGGAACAAATGGCGTATGAACCAATCGTTGGTCACCGGCTACCATGGGACTGCATCTCCTCACGATGCTCCACTGCCTTGTGGACTAGACCTTTAGGTCAAAGGCTCGGGGTGTGGCCCCCTAAGAAAACCACCTGCTTCGGTCTGGGCACCCGGGCAGTATCCCAGCCCACTCACTAAAACTATGATGAACTATATGCTTATAGAAAGTATTCGTTTCTCTCCAACTAACATTGAAATGACTGGTATTATTATTATTATTATTATTACTATTATTATTATTGTTATTATTATTATTATTTACTACGTCATTTATTCACTATCTCCTATTTCTACATTTTGTATCCGCTTCGACTCAGACAGCAGCTCGCCTATGGTGAAAATTCAGCTTTATCTAAACGTTCTCGAGTCACTGTCTGGTTGAAAATTGTATGTTACTACCGAATATGAGTACTGAAGCAGTTTTTCTGAAACCACGTGCACCATTCAAACTGGCTGCCTTCAACGTTCGCACACTTATGCAGGTCGGACAACAGATAGGGCTGGCTATGTCTTTGGAAAGTCTTAATATTGATGTGTGTTGTCTATCCGAGACCCGTATTCAAGACTCTGGTGAAGTACTACAAGTTCGCTCCCCATCTGTCACTTCAAAAAGCTTGTTTTATGTGCGTTTATCCGGGGACCCTGCGGCATCTTCGTCTGGTCTTGCTGGCGTTGGTGTCGCACTAAGCGCAAGAGCTGAGGCAGCACTAGTCGACTGGATCCCCATTAACAGTCGATTATGTGCTGTTAGATTAAAAAGTTCCATCAAAGTGAGAAGAAATCGGCGTGAGAAACGATGTCTTTTCGTCATCTCCGCCTATGCCCCGACAGATTGCAGCCCGGATGCAATCAAGGACGAGTTCTACCACCAGCTAACGGTTATTCTCCAGAAAGTGCGTTCGACAGATATTGTAGTACTAGCTGGAGACTTGAATGCTCAGGTCGGGCGTCTAGGCACAGAAGAGAGTCGTTTAGGTGGCCGATGGGGACTCGTTGGTCGCAGGACAGATAACGGGGAACGTCTACTGCAACTATGCACAGACCACAACCTGTTTCTGGCTAGCACTAACTTTCGGCACAGTCATCGCCGATGTGCCACCTGGCGTCCCCCTTCTGCATCTCAAGCCTGTACTCAGATTGATCACATCGCGATCAGCTACCGCTGGCGCGGTTGTGTACAAGACTGCCGCTCCTTTTGGAGTACCTATCTGGAATCTGATCATGCTCTGGTCTGCGCCAATCTTACCTTACTTTTCAGTGGACAACGAAGTGACCGCCACCACAGGATTGATGTTAGCAAGCTGGCTGCAACTTCTGTTGCTAGTATGTACCGAACCGAGCTAGCTTCTAGGCTAGCTACCATTCCACCGAAAAGTATAGATGAGCATTGGTTGCAATTGCATGACGCCATGAAAATGGCGGGTACAGTCTGTTGTGGGTTTGCGAAACTTCCCGCTTACAAGCACTGGGTTTCTTCTGGTTCCTTACAACTGATTGAAGCCCGTCGGTCTACTCCGGGTGACCGTGACCGTGACCACAGACGAAGGATGTTACGTAATGAAATCGGGCAAAGCTTGCGTAAGGACCGAGAAGCCTGGTGGTCGGAGCGTGCCAGTAAGTTGGAAGCAGCAGCTGCATCTGGTAATTACCGGAAGCTCTTCCAACTCATCCGAGCCACTGGCAGCAAGAAGTCTGGTGTGAGCGAAACAATCTGCGAGGATGACGGAACGCCAATCACTAACATCCATCGACGTCTTGGACGATGGGCAGAATTCTTTGAAGGGCAGTTCAACTGGCCTGCTGCTCCGGCAACATCGGTCAGACTGTGCTGCCCTCCATGGCCGGTGGAAGTCCGCAAGGAACTCCAACTCTTGAAACGTTACAAATCACCGGGCCCAGACGACTTACCTCCGGCTCTTTTTAAAGATAGTGGTGACTTTCTGACCAAGGGACTGACGACGTTGTTTACAAAGATCTGGGAACTAGAGAGTGTACCAACGTCATGGAATGAGTCGATAGTTGTCCCTATCTTTAAAAAGGGTTCACGTCGTTCCTGTAACAACTATCGGGCGATAAGTCTACTTTCGATTGCGTCCAAACTGTTGGCTTCCTTTATACTTTGTAGGTTGTTCAAAACCCGAGAAAGATTGACTCGCGAGGAGCAGGCTGGGTTTCGTTCTGGTCGAGGATGTATTGATCATATCTTCACCCTCCGCCAAGTGTTAGAACACCGCCATACTTATCAAAGGCCAACAATCGTAGTGTTTCTTGACATCATGGCTGCCTTCGATTCGTTGGACAGAACTGTTCTCTGGGATTGTCTATTGAAGAAGGGTGTGCCTGAGAAGTTTATTAACATCCTAAAAGCCCTATACACAAACACCTCAGGCAGAGTGAGGGCATACAACCACCTTTCTCCACTATTCCATTCGAGCAGTGGGGTTAGGCAGGGTTGCCCAATCTCACCATTCCTCTTCAACTTTGCCATCGATGACATTCTGGAAACAGCTCTGACGGATGTAAGTAATGGTGGTGTGGATCTGTTGCCTGGAGAAAGACTTCTCGACCTTGAGTATGCGGATGATATTGTCTTACTGTGTGAGAATGCCCAAGCCATGCAATCCGCACTTAATCAGTTGGCAATCAGTGTCCGTAGGTATGGTATGTGCTTTGCACCTTCGAAGTGCAAAGTACTTCTACAAGACTGGCAGGATTCTAATCCTGTACTCACTCTGGATGGTGAGCAGATTGAAGTAGTCGAGAAGTTCGTGTATCTAGGTAGCTGCATAAGTGCTGGTGGTGGCATGAGTGATGAGATCAATACATTTATCTACCAGACCGCAATCAGGTGGCCTGTACACATCAATATGGCTTAGTCCAACAGCCGATGAGTTAATGGATCAACGTCGTGTTATGGTTTTGCCATTCTTAGCTTTCCCCTAGCATATTCTTATGCGTGAAAACATTGCTAAAAGTGACATCAGTTACTAAAAACCAAATGAGCTATCAGAATATTTCATTGAGCACCAAACATTCAGAGCTGAGAATAATTTCAACAATATGGTCAATGTATTCAGCTAACCTACTTCCTATCATTATTTCATTTGACGCAGACTAGTCCTGAAGCAGTAACCTGTATGTAGATGGAGAGAAACACACTCCAGACAAGCTTAAGTTGTTACTAAAAGAGGTCAGAAGACTGTATTTTTCTCAGCATCTTCACCAAAAATATATAATGATGCATGCACCTGGCTTCGTGCTGGACTGCATGTACCCTGGCTTGGTGGTTATTACCCTAGGCTCCAGTGGTTGAATATGGCATGCACCTGGCTTCGTGCTGGACTGCATGTACCCTGGCTTGGTGGTTATTACCCTAGGCTCCAGTGGTTGAATATGGCATGCACCTGGCTTCGTGCTGGACTGCATGTACCCTGGCTTGGTGGTTATTACCCTAGGCTCCAGTGGTTATCATTTCCCTGACCGGGGTACCTAGCCTGTCGTATGCCCTGATGGTGTTCTCGTAACTTTCGAGTTGCCTGATCTGCCAAGGGCGATGGGACAGTGCATGATGCTATTGTTGTGTGCTAGGTTCAAAGAGAATTGTACGCTATATGCATGCAAATCCGCCCCGTTATTGTTCCTATTCGCCCCCAAACGCCCTGGTACGGCCGAGAGTGGGGAGGGTCCGCGCTCCCTCTCGAAATACTCTCACATGGCCACGCGTATATAGCCTCTGCCAGGGAAGTCCTACTCACTGCCTTCACGTGGTGGGGGTTTTGTTTACGAAAATGAGAGGACGAAAAGCGAATGTCCGGAGCTTTAACCGGATCCCAAACCAATGGTGCACATGGGCTCCAGTATCCTGCGGGAACAAATGGCGTATGAACCAATCTTTGGTCACCGGCTACCATGGGACTGCATCTCCTTACGATGCTCCACTGCCTTGTGGATCAGATCTTCAGGTCAAAGGCTCGGGGTGTGGCCCCCTAAGAAAACCACCTGCTTCGGTTTGGGCACCCGGGCAGTATCACAGCCCTCACACATATTAAATGAGATATGTGTGGCGCATATGTATTTGGTGCCTCCTTGTACCAATATTTATGTGTTAAAATAAAATAATAAAATAAAAATCTTCACCGAACAGTACTATGTCCTCAACGTATTCTAAGTCGATATTTGGGTCTTAGTCAGTCAGTCAACTGCAATGTAGAACCAGGTAAGTATGTACACCGTTTTAAGTTGCCATATCCCATAAGCACAAAGAGATAAAATTGTCAGACCAAATCCCAAAAAGAGAGAGGAAGTAACAATATGAGTGGTAATTGAAGAGATTAGGCATCGAAGATACTATTCAAGAAAATATAAATTAGTGGAATAAAAGCGCGAAAAAAGTTATGAGGAATTTAGAACCCCATAATTTACGGGAAGAAAAGGATAGATGCACCTGCGCCACTATAAACGATTTTCAGCCATATCATTCAAGGTCCCTAACTATTGGTTACGATAAACAAGTGGACGCCAGCCAGGTAGTCTATACCTACTGACATGGCTAATTCCGGTTGTCATGTTTGGTTTGGCCGCCCCCGAGTTTTATTTGAGCCTACTCCTACGCCAGTCAGTCAACTACAACGTAGGACCAGGCACATATATGCATCTGTCCAAGTTGCCACACCCCATTAACGCAACAAGATGAACACCAAATTCATAGAAGTATTCACTTCAATAGTATTAATGTATAAAAGAATGAGTATAAGGATATAGTACATGAAGAAAGAATTAGTTCGTACAAAGAAAGATACAGTGGTTTTAATCTCATTGTTTAAGGGAAGACAGAGAGTGTAGACACCTACGCCATTGTGATCGATTCTGAGTCATGTCACCCAGAGTCTCCAAACATTGGTTACGATAGTTACGCGGACTCCCAACCAAGTAGTCTGTATCTACCAACATGGCCAACGCTAGAAGTTAGTGACTTCAAGGACTGATGCTATGTTTTGGTTTGGCCGCCCCTAACTTTCTTCTACACCAGACAGTGGCGGTTGGGCATACGCAAAACAAGTTCCAGTCATCTCAGTTGAAGATTTACTACATCAATCGATTTGCCATTCTTATATGGTACCCTATACCTAACCCAGGGATTGCTTACAAAATAGTCCCAAAATAAACGAGTAATACTTCGAAGTTATCTGTGATCGAATACCAGCAATCTACGAATAACCTCTATTCTTAATGGCCGTGTTTCACACCCACAAAGTAGAACGGATAAAACTTACGTGTAGTATACTCGTTCTTTGGTTGACAGACAGATAACTCGCCTACACCGTAACTCACACAAGTTGGCAAAAGCCAATCGAGCCTTCTGAACTCGTGCCGAAATTTCGTTAGGTACTAGACCATCAGTACTGATGAGACTCTCAAGATGAGTGAAGGGGTCGGTGGGTCCAACTACTCCCTTCCGTATCATCAGTTCAGGCACTGACTCAGGTTTATCCGGAATTAACATTTAGCATGTGGACGGAGAAAACCCCACCACAAACATCTTTGCACTGCTGCTTAGGGTGGTCAAAAGACTGAATCTCGTCAGCCTTTTCACCAAAAAGAACTATGTCATGTGTATACTCTAAATCAACAAGTGAATCTCCTGGTAGATCAATCCCTGAAACGTCAGACGATGAAAGTGTTATCTCTATAAGCATGTCTATGACAAAGTTAAATAAAAATGGGGAAAGTGGACAACCTTGATGAAAGCCATTCGAAGTAACCACATCCGATGACAATTCGCCATAAGCTCTAACTCGACCAGTAGTGTAGAGCACCTGTACACTGCTGATGACTTCATTGATACGCCTTTCAATGGCAGATTGCCGCAGAACCTCAGCCAACGAAGTTAGGTGCTGTGTGTCAAGAAATACAACTATCATTGGGAGTCGGTAGAAATATCTGTGTTCCAGAACCTGGTAAAGGGGGGAAGATTTGGTTGAAATATACAGGTTCAAGACTGAAAATGATCTTTTGTTCACGGTTTGCTCATAAAGAACTAATTTTAGACAGAATATTGGACTGATTCCTTCGTGGTGACCGCATAAAGAATTTTGTCTTATAAAATAGAACGATAGGTGATCGAGACTAGTTAGGCGGGATTATATCCAGTTGCCGTATTCTAATCAATATCTTAGTAAATCTAACTTTCAAAACTGGAATGTTTCCATCTTAGTGTTCCTCATCCTCGCCCTAGAGTAACTATAGATTTTCCAATTTCATAGAGTTGGAAGGCTAATATTGATATCCCATCCAGGCCGTTTGGTAACGGTAGGCAAATGAAGAGACCTTGGAGAAGAGTTAGACTCGTGTTGCACCCATAGTTTCAATGTCTTGAGCTGAGATTGGATTATTTTCCCTCTTACTAACTACCAGATTTTCAATATCAACCTTTAGATAAATCTGAAAAGTTGTCTATTGTCCCTTACAGCCGTTGCATTTTCCATTTCGTCTGGGTCTGCTACCCACCCACCCACATAGATAATGGTAAAAAGGGGCACCAGATGCATATGTGCCACACAAATCTAAGTAGACTTGTGTGAGGGCTGTGCTACTGCCCGGTGCCCAAGCCGAAACAGGTGGTTTTCTTAGGAGGCCACACCTGGAGCCTTCAGCCTAAAGGTCTGATCCACAAGGCAGTGGAACATCGTAAGGAGATGCTATTCCATGGTAGCCGTTGACCAATAATTGGTTCGCACGCCATTTGTTCTCTCAGGATACTGGAGCCCATGTGCACCATTGGTTTGGGATCAGGGTTCTCCAACTCCCCTAGGTGGACTCTCCATATCCACCAACCCGGTTAAATCGCCGGACATTCGCTTTTCGTCCTCCGCAAGAAGGCAGTGAGTAGGACCTCCCTGACAGACTATATACGCGTGGGCATGTGAGAGCACTTCGAGAGGGAGAGCGAAATCTCCCCACTCTCGTCCGTACCAGGGCGTTCAGGGCATTAGACGGTCCCGGTGTCTGTTCACTGAGCTGAAACAATGTAAGACGCACCCATGTGTCTTTGATTTAAACCGCCTACTTGAGTCTTGCTACAGTTATGACGTTAGAGTTTGACGTTTTATAGAAGAGCGGAAAGCTTTCCAAAGAACATCCTCTATGTCACCCGATCGACAGTCAGTGAGAGGGTAGGCAGAGACGAAGAAAGACAATAACATTTGTCCCTAACTTCCCGCGTTTTTACCCCCCTCCCTGTTAAGTCGGATGATGCACAAGAGAACCTGTTCTGCTTCATCCAAGCTCAGTGTTATATCAACACCAGAGAGGTCACGAGAAGTAGCAGCCGAAACCCTAGATATATGGAGAGCATATCGTGGCGGTTTTCGACAACAACTAAGTGGGGTCAATTGAATGATCGCGCTTGGATCTTATATGCTTGTTTTGTAGGCACAGCAAACATCGAAACCTCAAGATTCTAGAGTCCTAGTCAGAGGAACCTGTTGGCTGACTCCAATGTTTGAAAACTGAAAGTTTCAACATGTAGTTTAGGGTACAGTTTCAAGAAACCAGGAATAACATTTTGTGAACTTGAATCTTTAGCATTGGTGGTGCTTGGTGACAGTCGTATTGGAAGGGCCGACAGTGAAAATAAAAACATTCAATATCATACGCAAAGTAGAACTTAGCACACAAATGAAACGGTTCAAGTTGCTATGCCACATTACCACAACGGTATAGTTATCAAAACAGATCCTAGAGTAGTAGAGGTAGTACCAGCGGCAGTAACAGTAGAAAAGACCATTGAGAATGTTGAGAAGAAATGGAGAGATTTGATAGTGGACAAGAGGATTTTGAGTGCGGTTAGATGATGAGAACAGTTGCAACTTTTCCTTAGGGACCTGAAAAGGAAACTGAGTTGGTGGTGGCCGTAAAAACCTCGGTGTGAGACCGCAGGGCTCAAAGAACAGCTCCTTGAGGCTGGTCATGCATGATTTTTCTGTGAAAACTTTTCATGTATCGTGATACAACTGGAGACTGAAATCTGTAGGGTTAAGTGGCGTGTGACATGTTTAAAGTTTAGCTTTTCTAAACCCTTCCGTTTTGAGAAGGCAGAAGGGAAACACTTTATTGTCACCACAATCCAGTACAGTCAGTTGTATGGCTCTGCATTTGGACCTTAAGTAGCAGGTTTTAGTCTTAACAATATCCAGTTGACCTGGCTGGCATGGCAGGATCTGAAGCGATGTCTTCCATTCACTATAACTCCACTAAGATATCACGATAGACAATCCCGATCACCAAACCAAGGTAAACTAAAGATACTAAACCAGTGTACTTTGAAGTATGACTTCTAACATTCAGTTAGTCTTTGGGTCAGAAAATAAAGGAAAACTTCAGCAAATATAAAGATTACCATGTATATAAAATGAAAAGGCACTAACCTTTTAACAATGTCAGAATTATACAACCTATTGTTTTTAATTCTATTCAAACGACTGATACATGAGCTGTCATCAAAGCTCTTTGAACGGCGACAAGATTGCGAGTAAGATCCATTATATTTTAATGATTTCATAGAAAAATTACCCGAATTATTAGATTTTGAAAAACTATATTCAGATTCGCATTTGTTAATCAGTTTTGCACCTTCCGTATTTATCAGACGTTGTACATTTGGATCTATAGATAATATGTTAGTACATTCGCGTCCCAAGTTGTTATCATCATTGGGCAGTAAGTCCAACAATCGAAGTCTAGATTTTGAAATTCCCGCCGATATTTGTAATTCAAGTGGAATTTGACGAGGCCTATTGGGAACGAAACTAGAATTTGGACTAACTGGGGGAGCATTATTTGAAATAGTTTCCGAAGTTTTACAGGAACAAATTTCATCCGTGTGAGAATTGCCATATTTAGAGGTACGGTCGGAAACCTTTTTTGAATCCGTATAGGTGGAGTCTGATTTGGGGAGAGTAGCCATATTTGAAGCTTTTAGAGGTGCGGTTGTTGAGTCATCATAGTGTTGTTCCAACTCCGTAACAATTGACAGTTTATTTACGTAATTTGATATACCCATGTTTTGTCGACGCAAATACGCAGTAGAAGGGTCTGAAGCATATAGAGGAGTTGCAGAACTATCTGGAAATTCGGTTTTGTCACTCTGAATTCTATTTTCTGTTTGCGATAAAGAGTCAACAGAGTCGGAATGTTCGTAATGGCCATTCATTGCACAGGTTGACTGATCCTTACATTCCGATTCAATGACATCTTGCGAAGTGTTATCGCAATTTCCACAAGAATCGTAAACTGGTTCGGAACTGCGTATGTGAATAGCCGTGAAAGGAACTTGACTATGAACACGAAGACCATTATTCCAAAAAGAGAAAAGATTAGTTCCTGCAAACCCATTACTCAAAACCATTGATTGAGCCTCCAATTCATTCTCCAGGGCATCTACTTTCTCATGAGAGTGTTTGGAATGTGGGTCGACAGAAGCACCAACATGTGCAGAGTCATGTGTGGCTCGTGGGAACACAGATGATTCTTTATCTTCTGTAAACAAAAATAAAAATGTCAACTGATTACTAGTGTAAAAGAAATCCAACCCGTTTCAGAAACACAGTGCCCTTGGGCCAGGAAGAATTACATATGCAACTCAGTAATCTTTACACTGCTAGCTAATCCAGTTAGACCTATTGACGTAAATGGGATATATGCATTTATTTACTGACTAATTTATATCAACTACTGTCTAGTTCAATATATTCAAATTTGACTAATGGCCAGATATGTAATACAGTGTAATTATGATAGTTTTGAATTGATAGTGAAAAGTTGTTGGATTAGTTGCGAACGTGAGGTTGGTGCATAAATAAATCTTCAACTAAAATCTTATTTTCCTCCTTGTGTCAACCAACATTAATCTTTGATCCACTATACAGTAGCAAGTAAATAGTCAGATCCACACTCAATAATTAACAGTTTTCAGAAGTTATAAAACATAGACGTACAAGTATTCTATCAAGACAATATGTCCTGAAATTTACTATGAGAAAGTGACTAGTAACAGATAAGCAGAATCTGAAGTTATTTATTCTCTTATCTGAAAATACCACTATTTCAAAGCAAACAGAATACCACCTTGAAACTGTAAAGGTTAATGAAAACTGTTTAAATGTAGTAGGATATGAAT